CTGAGCGGCTCACCTTCTGGCACTATATCTGATAATGTTCTGCTGCTATTCATAAGGTTTTCAGTGGCTAAATGTTCATAAATATTTAGCCTTTTCTTCTTCATAATCTGTCTTAGTTTGGAAGTTCCACTGAAGACTGTGCACCATGGATGACCCTGCCAGCTTCCAGCATCATAGCAACACAAAAGACATCACAATTGTAACAAATCAACAGATGAGTGGTGGAGATCACTCATTTTATACCCAGATTATTTGAGTTCCAAGTTTTTACAATCGCAATTTACTCTTAACAATCATTAACAACTGAATCATACCAGTATCTTCTTTCACCTTATCTTACCCACACTCATATGGAAAAGAGTCATTTGGTGGGAGTTACAAAGACTAAGGCTAGAAAAGAATTATTAAATTGTCCCCCATACTACATCAGGTAACTGTCTCTTTAGAAGTAAAAAGCAAAGTAAAAAGCAAGGTGAAACCAACCAAACCCATTGCCAGTGAGTTGGTTCCAACTCACAGTGACCCTATAGGACAGGGAATAACTAACTATTCCACAGGGTCCTAAGCAGTAAGTCTTTACAGGAGCATGTTGCCTCATCTTTCTCCCATGAAGTGGCTGGCAGGTTCAAACCACTAATATTTTTGTTAGCAGCCCACTTTACGTGCCATCAGAGCCATCAGCGTGCCTAACAAGCAGAACAAGACATTACATTCGTTTATCACTGTGTTCCCATTTGTAGCATGCATCAGAATCCCCTGGAGGACATATAAAAACTCATACCTACAATTTCTAATTTGGTTGATCTGGGGTTGTTATTATTAAGACCCAACGAGTCAGTTCTGATCCATAGTGACCCTGTATAGGATTTCCTAGGAGCAGCTGGTGAGCTTGAACCAGAGTCCTTGTTGTCCAAACTGACTTTGCAGAGGAGGTAAATTTGCATTTCATATATGTTTCTTAATGAAGCTAGTGTGGCTGGTTCAGAGAACACAATTTGAAAATCCCTGGGCTATGGAAAAAGTTATATAGTTAGCTACCTAGAAAAATGTCCGACACATAACAAGCATTCAGCAGAATAATTGTTGTGAGCAAAGATAGAAAATAAAAGAAATGTCTTCATGGGAAAACAGAATAACTAGCAATGACCTTTCCTCTGGAAGCAAAGGTGCACTAATGAACCAATTTCAAGGATATTTATGGAGACTGCAAGTAAAATAAATACAATTTGTGTTTCTTCAAACTGGATAGGCTGCCCTAGATATTTATAAAAGGAAAGTGTGTTATTATTAGTTCTACCAGAATTTGCACCATTGTAAAAGTTTAGACCCTGTAAGATTTGTTTTGTTCTGTGCTCTGTCTTAATGTGAGTCATTAAATAGAATGTTTCAGAGTTGGTAAATTCCTTTATGAACTAGAGTGTCTCTGAATTTCTACATCCTTGCTGCCCTTTGAAATCAATATACTTGATTTGTTTTCTAAATAATAGCAAATACATTTTACATAAACATTTAAATATGATTACTCTGCCACTAACATAGAGTGAATGTCTTAATCTCTAAAAAATATAACAACACTCATCTTTCCTTTAACAAATCCATTTCACGCTGTATTAAAGGACTGGGCGTTGGTTTGGGTGCATGATTTATTTTTTCTTTTTATTGTTGCTGTGCTGTTTTTGTTGTTGTTGTTGTTGTTAGGAGCCATTGAGTTGGGACTGACTCATAGTGACCCTATGCACAACAGAACAAAACACCGCACGGTCCTAGGACAACCTCACAATTGTTGCCATGCTCTAGCCATTTGATGCTGCCACTTTCCCAATCCATCTCGCTGGGGGTTTTGCTCTTTTTCTCTGACCCTCCACTTTACCAAACATGATATTCTTCTCCAGCGACTAGTATTTCCTGAAAACATGTCCGAATTATGAGTGACAAGGTTTGGGCATCCTGATATCAAAGGAGCACTCTGGCTGCACTGTTTCCAACACAGATATCTTGGTTCTTTTGGCAGCCCATGGTACTTTCAATATTCTCCTCCAACACCATAACTCAAAAGCATCAATTCTTCTACGGTCTTCCTTATTTACTGTTCAGCTTTCGCATGCATATGAGGTTATTGAAAACACCATGGCTTGGGTCAGGCGCACCTTAGTCCTCAAGCTGACATCTTTGTTCTACAACACTTTAAAAAGGTCTTGTGCAGCAGATTTGCCTAATGCAATACGTCGTTTGATTTCTTAACTGCTGCTTCTGTGAGTGTTGATAGTTGGTCCAAGAAGAATGAAGTTCTTGACAACTTCAGTCTTTTCTCTGTTGATCAGAATGTTATTAGTCCAGTAGTGAGGCTTTTTGTTTTCTTTACATTGAGATGCAATCCACACCGAAGGCCGGTATTGTGTCATCTGCATATCCCAGCTTGTTAATGAGTCTTCCTCCAATCCTAATGCCATGTTTTTCTTCATATAACCCAGCTTCTCAGATTATTTACTCAACATACAGTTTGAATAAGTATGGTGAAAGAATAAAACCCTGTTGCATACCTTTCTTAACTGTAAACAATTCAGTGTCCCCATGTTCTGTTCGAACGCTACTTCTTGGTCTATGCACAGGTTCCTCATGAGCACAGTTAGTGTTCTAGAATACTCATACTTCGCAATGTTGTCCATAGCTTGTCATGATCCACACAATCAAAAGCCTTTGCTTAATCAATAAAGTAAAGGTAAACAAACATCTGTCTGATATCTCTGTGCTATTCCTACTTCCACATCCTCTTCTAAATCCAGCTTGGACCTCGGGAAGCTCTCTCAATGTACGCTTGCAGCCATTTCTGTATTACCTTTAGTAAAACTTGACTCGCAAGGAATATCAAAGATATTGTCTAGTGATTTCCGCATTCCTTTTGGTCACCTCTCTTTGGAATGGGCACAAATATGGATCTCTTCCAATCAGTAGGCCAGATAGTTGTCCTCCAAATTTTTTGGCATAGCTGAGTGAGTGTCTCCTGTGCTGCCTCACTTTCTTGAAAGATTTCAATTTTCATTCCATCAATTCCTGGGGCCTTGTTCTTTGCCAATTCTTTCAGTGCACCTTGGATTTCTTCCTTCTTTATCATTGGCTCTTGATTATATGCTACCTCTTGAAACAGTTCAACGTCAACCATTTCCTTCTGGTACAGTGAGTCTGTGTATTCCCTCCATCTTCTTATGATGTTTTTTGCATCATTCAATAATGTGTCCAGAGAATCCTTCAATAACGAAAGTCAAGGTTTGAATTTTTCTTCAATTCTCCCAACTTGAGAAATGCTGAGTGTATTTTTCCTTTTTGATTTTCTGACTCCATATCTTTGCACTTTTTGTTGTAATACTTGACTTTGTCTTCTCACACTGAGCTTTGAAATTTTCTGTTCAGTTCTTGGACCTCCTCATTTCTTCCATTTGCTTTATCATCTCTATGCTAGAGAGCAAGTTTCAGTGTCTCTTATGACAACCATTTTGATATTTTCCTTCGTTGTTACTGTAGTTGTTGTCAAGTGCTGTCATGTCAATTCTGATTCACAGTGACCCTGAATAGCATTTCCAAGGAGCGGCTGGTGAATTCAAACCTCTGACCTTGAATATAAATGCTAAATTCTGAGATCTCCAGTATAGCTTCCATTACTCTAAATTTGTGTTGAAAGGTACCAGACTTTCATCGAACTTATTCAGGAGGTTGTATCTCTTGAAGGAGAGAGAAACCACCGTTCATGCATGTTTTTCTTCTAATTGATTATAACAGTTATGAATTTTACTTGGAGATTTCCTGTATACAAATAAAAAATTGTCAATGTTGGCCACGGTGTCTCAGTAAAAATTGGGCATTCTTTTGGAGGGACTATAAATGGTTTCAAGTTATCCTGATGACATTGTAGGTTAAGTGTTGGACTCCCAACTATAAAGTGGGTGGTTTGAACCCAACAGCCTTTCTTCAAGGGAAAGATGATGCCATCTTCTTCTGTACCATCCTGAAAGCTCCGAAGAGCAGTACTACTCTGTCCTATAGGTCACTATGATTCAGTTTTGACTCAGTGGCAGTGGTTTGGTTTTGGATTTGGTGGGTGACTTCACCCATAACCAGGTAAATTCCAAAAGATAGAAACCCATCATCTCCCTTTAAACAATAGAAGAAAGCAGGCATCAGGATTTTCCAGACTGAAAACATATATATTTATAAGAACATTTAAGTTTGGAATAAATAAAAGGCAAGAATCAAGGTTAGGGATTGAAAAGCTAAAAGCCTCTGGTTGAGCCTAAGGAAGCGAGTCAAGATAATTAAGAGAAATTTTCATTGATGGTACATAGCTGGGAGCAGAATTATAAATTATATTTTTGGGGAAACAGAAGCCCAGGTGTTTAAGTACCTTTGCCACAAAAAGGAGCCACCCAGTTCTGGCTCACTCCAACACTTGCAGGTCCAAGCTACATATACCTTTTCATAGTGGCCACATGACTGTGGCTTTAAATCAGGACTTTTCCGACTCTGAAATGAATAAAATATCAAGAGCAAAGTAACATTTTGAAACATAGACATTAGCTATCTCTTTTTATTACATTGTTCTTAAGGCAACATACATTTTCAAAAGAAAATTAAACCACAGGAAAATAATAAAGTAAGGTGCAGCAACTCTCTAAAATGTTTTCATTAAAATTGATCATTAAGGAAATTACTGGAAAACTTTGAAATGTCAAATTAAAAATTAGACACCAAGACAACATGGGCACTGATTTTTACCTTTGTAAAATGTTACATGAGTATGCAAACAATTATGCAATTATAAAAATTATATTTCTTGTTATTATGTGTAGTTCTATCAATTTGCACCATCTTGTAGGTCTCAGAACATTTGAGGTTTTATATTAAAATGCTAGTCTCTTCATATGGAATTCTATGTATTTTAATGTTCGCAATAGTAAATGACTGAAAGTATGATTGGAAAAAAAGTAAGTCTGTGTGTTTTTTCCTAGGAGTGAGAACTCCTCCATGTCAATCGTATCTACTACAGGTGGACCATTTGTAACACTGAACAGAGCACCTAATGGAAGCTTAATACTAACACCTAGGTGGGTACTAAAATCTATTCTTGGGTTATTTACTTGCATATTGACTGGAAGAAGATATAATTTGAAGTCAGTAGAATTTGAATACTATACTATACTGACCATGCAATCTTGATAGTTATTTGACTTGTGTTATTTCATTAAACCATGAGTCCTCATGTGGTGCAGTTAAGTGCCAGACTACTAACAGAAAGGTGGATGCTTTAAAACCACCCAGAATTGTCTAAGAAAACTGGTTTGGTCATCTTTTTCCAAAAGGACACAATACTGAAAACCCTACAATGCAGCTGTACTCGGCAACACATTGTGTTACCATGGGCAACAGTTAAAAAAAAACAACAAACTTCAAATCATCTCATACAGTATCTAGTTAATCCTATCTGATTATAATGCCTAACTATCATAGATGGTAACAAAATTAAATGAAATATTGTATATATAACTGATAGTTACTTAGTGAAATCTTAATTCTATATGAAATCCTTAAGGAATTTAATTACATAGAATGTAATTATTTTTATCTGCTAAAGAGACCAGCTGCTCCTCAGAAACCCAATACAGATAGTTATGAGTTAGAACCAACCTGAGGGCATTTAATAACATTAACAAACACACCAAATTAGATATCATTAAGAGAAAAAAGAGGAAAAACATGTGAAGATACTATTTCTCTGCTTTCTTCTATTTCACCAAATATAACATGAATTTTAAGTGGAGTCCAAAATTCTAGTTATGCCTTCATATTTTCTCTATTTCATATAAGGTTAATTTTTATAGTCTTTCCTAAGGTTTTACAGAACAGTGTCCTTCTTATGCTCAAAGATAGATTTAAACTTAGATTATGCCCTTTCTCCTGTTTTAGTTTTAATGGTATTTCTTGTTGAAATTGGCTTCTACATTTTACAGTACCAATAACGACCACCTGGGAGTGGAGAAAAGCAATAGCAAATAAGCCATATCTAGGGATAAGGATTTAAGAGGCCACTGTTGCTGCATTAGACAGCATACTTAATAGTGAATAAAAGAAATTATCCAGCTATTCGTGAGAAATAACCATTTCCATGAGCTAGAGCAATAAAACACATTGGCAAAGAGTATTTTTAGTAGTAATCAAAGCACTCTGTTTGCAGTTGAATGTCTTATATGAATATTTGCTTGGGCATTGATTGATATTATTAGTGTAATCGGGGGTGAAGCAGAGCATCTGCTAGTGAGAAAGCAGGCTTCCAGATTTCTGATCTATAAAACATGTCTAAATTTAAATTACCATTGGAGATATTGAAGCAGTTTGTACATTGAGTATTTCTTCTATTTATATAGAAGATTTTTTTGATATTTAAGAAATGATAAGGAAAAGAACAAAGAAAAAAAATTCAAATTATTTGTCTTAATTACCCATGTTGTTAACAATCATATCATGCTTTGATTGTATTTGTGATCATAGCATGTGTAACTTAAATCTGGTTTGCATTTTTTAATTTAATTTTCTTTTGTTTTTCCCTTAAAGTTCAAAGATATAAACAACATGCACAAATAGATATAGTTAGATACATAAACAGAAATCATTAAAAGTTATAGATGTGTGTTGTGGTATGTATGTGTTTTATAAATGATGGATAATCTGTAGCGGCTGTTTTAGGTAAGGGTAGGAAGTACTTTGATTCTTTATGTTATACTGACCTCTAGTGGTTACTAAGTATAACACATTTTAAAAAGTTTTTTTTTTTTCCCCCTTTGTTTAAATTTTTGCTAAAAATTGAATACTTCAGGTTTTGAAAAATTGTTGTTGTTGTTGTTAAATGTTGTCAAGTCGATTCCTACCCATAACGACACTGTTTAGGGTTTCCAAGGAGTGGCTGGTGAGCTTGAACCACCAACTTTGCAGTTCAAACCAACTTTACAGTCAAATGCATTAACCCACAGTGCCACACCAGGACACCCAAATTTTTAAGTTGGCAGTGGTTTTTAAGCCATTTATAACCATTGTATGTTTTATATTTGCTTTGAAAAGAAACAATTGATCAATGGAATTTGATCAACATTGAATTCTCCGAATTGAACTTTCAAGTACAGAGCAATGGGTACTATATAGCATACAGGGACATATTCTGTATTACATAGAAATCTAATGTTGGTTCAAGTGAAATAACAAGAGCTATCGTAGTGGTTACCAATCGGACTGTGAACCGCAAAGTCAGCAGTTCGAAACTACCAGCTGCTCCGCGGAAGAAAGAGGAGGCTTTCTGCACCGGTAAAGATTTACAGCCTCGGAAACCCTGTACAGGGTTGCTATGAGTTGGAACCGACTCCACGGCACTTAACAACAACAGCATCATTTATCAAGTGTATATTTTGAGTTGTTGTTAAAATGCCATCTAGTCAGTTTCAACTCATAGTGACCCTGTATAGAGTTTGAGGACCGACTGGAGGGTTTGAACCACTGACTTTGTGGTTAGCACTCCAGTGCTTATCCCACACTGTTACACCAGGTGTTGTGGGGAAAACACAGTAATAACTATTATATACATTTATTTTCATTTTGACAAAATTCCAATAAGATAAATACTATTCCTTCCACTTTATGAAAAAGAAAACAGAGACTCAGTGATACTGAGCTATTTATTCAAAATCACACAGAGTAAGTGATATGCTAAGGATGTAAATTAAGGTCTATTTAACTTCTAAACAAAGTTTTTTCTGTTATGTGTTTCAGTATTTTTAGATTTTCCTATGCATATATGTGACACTGTAGGATAAAGCACTAGACCACAAGGTCAGTTCGAAATCACCATCTTCTCCTTGGAAATCCTATACAGGGTCACTTTGAGAGTGAACTGACTTTGTGGCACTTCACAACAACAATATGCTACTTATGTTAAAAAGTTGATTTTGTGGAGAAAATAGGAGTGCTTACACTGTTTTGCTTGAAAATGTTAATTGCACAGCTTTTAAAATATAATTGTTCTTTTCTTACAGTATATATTGTTCACAGGATTCATTGATTCAATTGCAGTGTAACCATAAAAGTAAGAAAATATTTTGTCATGTTTTCTTCTGAGTCTTCGATTTAATATTCTCAGTGCTGTCAGTCATCAGCATCCGTGGGTTCAGCACTTTCAGATCCAACCAACAATGGATAGAAAATATTGGGACTGGGGGAATAGCAAAGAGACAATTAAGTAGTCATAGCAACCCCTGGAAGACTAAGATGTAACTTAAAGTGCTATTTACATAGCATTTACACTAGATTAGGTAGTATAAAAAATCCCTAGATGATTTAAATTATACAGGAAGATGTGCATAGGCTATATGCAAATTATATGCCATTTTATATAAGGGGCTTTCCCTATTTTATAGTGATCCACTCAATTTTCTTGAATAGAAGAAACTCACCAATATAAAATGCATGCTTCCCCCCTCCCAATGTTTTTGCTAGCCTGTGGAATAAAACTGGTGCCTTACGAAGTCAGCCCAAAGATTGTTGGAGGAAATAATGCCAAAGAAGGGGCCTGGCCCTGGATCATCGCTCTGTATTATAATGGCCGATTGACGTGTGGTGCTACTCTTGTCAGCAACAACTGGCTGGTTTCTGCTGCACACTGCGTATATGGGTGAGTACCACTGTCCATTCTCCAATCAGGTCACCACAGCAGATATTACTGAGTATCTGTTTCCTGCAGCCTTACAAAATCACCCCATCAGAGAATTCCTCCTACAGTTTATGATCCTTTAAACTTTAAAATAATTATAAACATTGATTAGATATTTTTATCAAGTATTGTTTACTACATAACTAAAAAAATGAATATTTTTTTACTTATCCAAACAGTGTGAAATCAGTATTCTATCTAGGGATCATATTGGTTATAATTCAGTTAACAGGACACCTGGTGGTATAATGGTTAAAGTGCTCAGCGGCTGTCTGAAAGGTCAGCAGTTTGAATCCACCCATGGTTTCTCAGGAGAGAAAATCTGGAGAGCTGCTCATGTAAAGATTCAAACCAAAATCAAACTCATTGTTGTCCACTTGATTCTAACTCATAATGGCCCAGTAGGCCAAAGTATAAACCCAAAGAGTTTCCAAGATGGAAATTTTTATGAAAGTAGGCTGAAACATCTTTCTTCCACTAAGCAGCTAGTGGGTTCAAACTCTGACTTTTCTTTTCGCATTTGAGCATTTTAATCATTGCATCACCAGGGTTCTTCCTTGATTCTACTATATTGCAAATAAAGGGTATTTTTAGCTAATGGTTTAGCATTTCTCATTGCACAATCTTAAGTCTTAGTACTTGTCCTGGTGTTTCCCTGCAGGATAACGCACTAGACCACAGGTCCATTTGAACCTTAAAGTTGGTGGTTCAAACCCACCAGCCACTATTTGGAAACCCTAGGCAGGTTTGCTGTAAGTCAGAATTAACGCAAAGACATTAACAACAAAAGCAACCAAGTCTTTGTAAGTTAGCAACCGCCTGTGTTAAACCTTGAATTTTGATATATTCCTCTGTTTGATATTCTTGCAGAACACTTGCTTTCTAAATGTCAACCAGGTTTTCAGTAATATTAGTAACATCTTTCAATTATCTATCATAATGGTGCACTTAAGCTCAATGATAATGCCTTTAAGTAATCATAGCAATCCCTAGAATACTAAGATGTTGCTTAAAGTGCTATTTACATAGAATTTATACTGGATTACGTAGTATATGATGTCCAGAGATGATATAAACTATACAGGAGGATGTGCATAGGCTATATGCAAATTATATGCCATTGTATATAAGGGACTTGAGCATCCATTGATTTGGGAGGAGGGATAACTGTATTTGTGTTTCCCTATTTTACAGTGATCCACTCAATTTTATTATAGTTTGTAAACTGCAGATATGCACCCCAAAATAGAAAAGCTGTTGTTCTAATATGAGCACATATTTAGTTATGTTGTTGTTGTTAAGTGCTGTTGAGTCAGTTTTGACTCATAGAAACCCTGAATTGGTGGATTTGAACCACCAGCCTTGTAGTTGAAACCGACATTGCAATCAAGTGCTTATTCTATAGTGCCACCATGATGTGTTCAGTTATATAGAACACAATATCTATTGTCACACAGTTTCAATTTGAACACAAGCAAACAAAGGTAAACTGTAATAGAAGTGGAGGAATTCAGTAGTGTCCGCAATATTTTCAACCTTGGTTTTAACTTTTCTTATCCATTTCAATTGATTTTTTTTTTCTTTTCTTAATGTTACAGATAACAGTAACAACACTAGAGTTGTCTCTAACACTAAGAGTCATTAGTGTTATCTCTAACAAAGCAATGAGGTTTCAGATATTACTTTAAATAATTTTTTTGCCTTCAAAAAATTTCAATATGCCAACACCAACTTTTTAAAACCTGAATTTTGTAGTGAAAAGCTTAATTACTTAGTAAAAACAATAATCCCAATAAAGCAATTTATTGAAATCACATGATACAAATGACTTCTCTTAAAGTTAAACCTGTTCCAGATATTTTTGCATGCAGGTGGTTAAAGTGGTTTAGTTGGATAGATAGCTCTTCTGTATACTTTCTTATTGTTAACGTCTCCTTTTCCTCAGTAAATTCACTTTTTCTAAGTCCTCCTGGAAGATCCTAAATAATTCCAGTATCAGTTCTTTTCCAACCTTAAAAAGGGGCTTTGAAGTTAATAGGCCAACATTGTTACACTTTAAAGAACAAGACTAGCTTTGCACCAGAGGGGACAGGGATGCTACTGACCTGCTTTTGAATTACAGTCTTGGTGAAGAATATCAAATATAGCATGGATGGTGAGAAAAGAAGCAAATCGTTTTAGAATTAATGCAATCAGAATGTTCCTTGCTAGTGATGATAGCAAGAAATTAGTTCCTTTACTTTGGAAATGTTATCAGGAAAAACCAACTGCTAGAAAAATACATAACTTGCTTGGTAAAGAGGAAGGTCAGTAAAGGCGAGGGAGGCAGACATTCAGTGAGATGGATTGATAAAGTAGCTGAAGCAATCGACTGAAACATAGCAATGATCATAAAGATGGCACAGGACCAGGCAACGTTCTCATTCTCTTATATATAAGGTATCCATGAATTTGAGTCAACTCAGTGACAACTACTACTTAAACTATGTGACTGGCCTGTGATTATAGAGAAGTTATTCAAGTAACTCTGTGTGTTAATCTACTGTAGGGTGAGCATAAGGATCCTAGCGTGCTTGTGATCCTACTCTGAATTAATATCCTACTCTGCTTTGGAGAACTATGTATCATACAATAGTGATGGTGGTGTGCTATGGAATTGGTTCTGACTCATAGTGACCCTGCATAGTGTTTCTGAGATTGTAAATCTTTATGGGAGTAAAAAGCCTCATTTCAACCATGGAAATTTCACCCATGGAAATGATGCTGACCTTGAGGTTAGCAGCCCAACTAGTTACTACTAGACTACCAGAAGCTCCTTCATGCAATAGTACAATTAAACATAATATCAATGTCAAGAAAACAAAAATTCTCACCACTGGACCAATAAACAACATTCTTATCAATGGAGAAAAGAATGAAGTTGTCAAGGACTTCATTCTTCTTGGATCAACTATCAACACTCGCGGAAGCAGCAGTCAGGAGATCAGACGACATATTGTACTGGGCAAATCTGCTGCACAGGAACTTTTTAAACTATTGAAGGGCAGAGATGTCAGCTTGAGGACTAAGGTGTACCTGACCCAGGCCATTGTGTTTTCAATAGCCTCATATGGATGCGAAAGCTGGACAGTGAATAAGGAAGATCATAGAAGAATTGATGCCTTTGAGTTGTGTTGTTGGAGGAGAATACTGAAAGTGCCATGGACTGCCAAAAGAACCAATAGATCTGTTTTGGAAGAAGTGCAACCAGAGTGCTCCTTGGAGGCCAGGATGGCTAAGCTTTGTCTCTCATACTTTGGACATATTGTCCGGAGGAAACAATCATTGGAGAAGGATGTCATGCTTCGTAAGGTGGAGGGTCAGAGAAAAAGAGGAAGACCTCTAACGAGATGGATTGGCCAGGTGGCATCATTGATGGACTCAAGTGTGGCAGCGGTAGTGAGGTTGGCCCAGGATCGGACATTGTTTCGTTCTGCTGTGCATGGGGTCTTTATGAGTCGGTTCCGACTCGATGGCACCTGACAACAACAACATTGTGCTGATAAACTTTCAAAGAAAAGTCCCCTGACAGATGAGTCCAAGTATTACACAATAAAATTCAGTGCATTTCTTTTCTAAACTTCTTGTATTACTACAGTTTCAAACAGGCAGAAAAAATGTGAGAATATTTTAACTTCTTTGTACTTTTAGCCAGGTTCACCAATTATTTACATTTTATACTACTTGCTTTACTAAATTTTCTTTTTCTTCATAACTGGAGACATTTTTTTCTGAACCATTTGACAGTATGTTAGATATTGTATCCCTTTATCTTTAAAAATATTATCATGTAGCTGTTTTTTTAATGAGCCAGGATAATTTTCTATATAATCATATCAAATCATGGAAATTTAGCAATATTTAATTTCTAAATAATTAAGTTAATGTACAATTACCTGATACACAATGTATACTCATTTTTATCATCTGTCCCAAATATTTCCTTGGCTTATTTGCTTGTTTATTTGTTTGCTTGCCTGAGAGAATCCTAATACATTGCATTTAGCAGTTCTTTTGCTTTAATCTTTTTTCATCTAAAACAGTCCCTCATTCCTTCTGTTATTTTTATCTTTACTATTTTTGGAGAATACAAACCAGTGAGTTTAGAAGTCCTTCAATTTAAATTTATCTAAGGTTTCTTCAAAATTAGATACAGTTTACATGTTTGTGGGCAGGACTAGCACTGAAGTGATACTTTTCCTCAGTGTACTATATCAGGATACACATAATGTCTGTTTATCTAATTCTAACGTAGGATGATACTGCTGGTTCTGCTACTGTGGAGCATATACCAATTTAAGTTATTTGTAGGGAATTCCATTGTTGTTGTTGTTAAGCGCAGTCGAGTTCGTTAAGACCCATAACAACCATGTATAGGGTTTTCTAGGAGCCATTGATGACTGTGAACCACTGCCCTTGCAGTTCAAACCAACTTTGCAGTCTAGTGCATTATCCCACAGTACCACACCACGACTCCCAAATATGCTATTCCCATCAACCTTTATACCATTAATTTTAACAACTATTAATGATTTTCTAACTTCCTCATTCTTTATTTATTACTTTGAATTCTACAAATAATATGTTGTTGTTGTTGTTGTTAAGTGCCGTCGAGTCGGTTCCGACCCATAGCGACCCTGTACAGGGTTTCCGAGGGTGTAAATCTTTACGGGAGTAGAAAGCCTCATCTTTCTCCCGCGGAGCGGCTGGTAGTTTCGAACTGCTGACCTTAAGGTTCACAGCCCGATTCGTAACCACTACGCTACCAGAGCTCAATATAGATAAGGAAAATATTTTCTCCTTGTATTATTTATTTATGTATTAATTAATATATGAATACAGTCACACATTTTTATTTTATTCAATAGTTTATTTTATTTCTTAGTTTTTTAAAAATTATTTTTCCATTGCTCTCAGAGTTG